AAGAGATATCTTGGCTGATTGAATATATATGTTTATGAAACAAAGCCACATCTAAATACTCCTGAAAGAGTGATGCATATCCCTCTACTTGGAAATACAATTACCCAGACATTTCAGCGTAAATTGTATACGAAACACGAGAACAGGGTTATAAATTTAGTTAACCTTTATAATATCCAGAAAGTCCCGGTTCCAACGTCAGCCTAGCTTAAACTTTACATCTTCAAAGTGAAAGAATTTCCGGGAAACTGTTTCTAAATCACTGCCGGTATGATAAATGGGAACAAGATAAAAAATACTTTTACCTGTGTACATACATCTGTGAGCACTACACCTGTGTGGTTTGCTTATATGTGCATGTGGATAACGTTATTCATCGTCCAGATGGAGGAGCATTTCAAGTACTATAAATATCTACAAAAAGGCTCTTTGGTTCTTCATCCGCCAAATGAAGTACACTTCAAAGACTTATAGAGAAGGTTTGAGTCAAGTAACCCATTGGGAAGTGTCTGAATGCATCTCTGCAGGTTGTGAAAGGTGACGTGGTTGATTATGTGTCATTGAATCTCAGACGGCAAGGAGTGTTATTCACGTCCACACCGTCGTGATACATGTTTGCAGCCTGATCTCCAATGGTAATATTTTGTAGTTAAGCTTGTTTCCACGTTGAGATTTGCTTTTCACAGATATCATTTCCAGGCCTAATGCAAGCTACAGAAACTCATGATATCTTACACCTTTTACGATTACAACAATGCACCAGTTCATAAACACTTCACATATAAACTACATGCTGTGGTGTGCACCGGAGACAGACAATCCTATTGTGGCGCCACACCGTCAAGTAACCTATCTGGGATGCTCGTCATCATGCCTGGACTTCTTGACCAATACGAATTCATCTTTCGCTATATATACTCCCACGAGCAGTGTTAGTCTCAGTTCCTCCTCAGTGGACCACAGTGGACATATCCACGTACCGCCACATGGTGACGTGCATCGACTCAGCGACTGTATTCTGTTGTTATTGATGACGATAGATCATTGGCTTTATAACTGCTGCTGTTTCTACATTATTGTTCAGAATGACCACGTGTCGTTAACGACAATTTGTAGTATGTACCTTTGTCGCTGATAAACTGTGGTAAGAAATTGGTGCAAAGTAGATCTTGAAGATTATTCCTGAAACTGTCCGAGATTACTCAAGATAGCATTATATTTGTGAATTTTAGTATGGATCAGTTTCGCTATTTTCTCACGGATTCCTTTTCGCACATGTTTAACCGAATGTTATCATGAGTTGTTGATATATTTAAAATATGTTATCGACGCTCATTCACGTATCACTGATGGTTTTCTGTGCAGCTGTGTCCATTTGCACACCTTCAGATTAGGTACCTGCAAAGGAATCTGCACTTATAGTCTGCAAACATCAACTTCTCGAAAACTGCTGGGCCGATGGATCGGTGGTGGATGTATGGCTGCCACCGTACCGCAAGACATTAAACCTATCAGTTTGCAAAATGGCGTTATCCGATTTTCAAAAGTAACAGAAAAGTATTGCATATTAAGGTGGGGCTTTTTACGTCACAGTCAACCCGTGATGATCCGGGTTAGAATTGGTCTTCAGCACCCATGCATGTCGTAAGAGACAAGGTTGATTGTGGATCTGTTGGTCAGACTTGGTTGACACATGCCATCATATCCCAATTGCGAAAATCTCTGCTCATGATGTTGGTCACTGCATACCGCCTCCATAAAGCTGGAATATTTCTAAATAAAATAAACAAATAAAACGAGACAGTCAGCAATATTAAAGCTTCGGTGCATATAACGGTGACCTGTTAATGATCAACGTCGCACGAATAAATGACCAACACCAAAGCCGTTAATGCACGTTGACACTCAATTAGCAATGTCACAACGTGTATTTACCTTAATGTGACATTTCTATCTTTAACGTGACATATTATGCAACTTTATACTGCTTTGGAACTGAAGCGTGTGATGACAACCGTGTTCTGTTGGAATCTTGACAGTTGTTATGACTTCAAGTATCCGAAATTACCATTACGAAGTTCATGAAAAACCACACATTTGATCATTCGTGATACCCTGTTTGTAGGTACGGAAATGCAGTAGTTACGCAAGAACATACACCCAGTTTGAGTACTGTCAAATATGTAGATACCTAGGAATATTAAACCAACTAAGATGTGCTTACAACATTACAAGACACCATTTCATAGTGCATGCAATGACATAGGTCATGATTCAAAGCTTCGGATGTCGTTTCCACGAAAATAGTTTCCTACATTCAGTGGCGACTGGCTGCATGAATGCACAATCAAACTGATGAAACATGTACGAAACTCATCTCTGTTGATGGCGTAATGCATCTATGATAACTACCGTGAGCGTTTGTCGGCCGGAGTGCACATTGTATCACGTAAGCTTCAGTGCTATTCATAACCGACTGACACAATGGAACTAGAACTGAATATTTAATGTTGAGTGTGTTTGTGGTTGCTGCATACCTGAACATTGCCCAGTGGACAATATTCTTTGCAGCATATCAAGATAGCGAATCTTGACAATGCTCACGTCTTAAATAATGAAGATTACTCTTCAACAAGAACGATCTATAATGTGACTGGAGACATTGATTAATTCTACCGTAACCATAGCCTGTGGGACTTGGATACACATTTTCTGGAAATGTCCGCCATTAATTATGTGTCACAAAGTCGGAAATTCTAGGACTTTTGTGTACATTTAATTTCATCCTCAGTGTTATTCTTAAATCAAGAGCTATCTCTTGCCATGTGTAAGTGCAAGAGAAGAAGTCACTTGAAAAGAATTTACCGTTATGCTTGAATTGAACTTTCAAAGTACACGTCTATATCTGACTTAAGCAAACCATTCTGTTCGATAATGATCATCGACTATTCAAAATTGCTCTGAAAGCGGATACAAGTTTAGTTTGCTCCGTCACTGGATGTTTGATGCTCTGCCATATTTGTCAATGGGAAACAATGCCTTCATGTCAGACCTCAGCGTTGGCTTGATCTCAAAGAGACCCATCCCCTCCACAGTGAATTTCTTCTGTTTGATTTCTTGAAACATCATTAAAATCGATCATCTCCCCTTTGGCAAGGAACAAAGAATGCACGTCAAAGTGGATGCCTCAGTGATTTAAGGGGAGGAGAATAGCTCTGTCAAGTGATCAGCTGTCGCTCGGAGCTGCCCAAGCGTCAGAAAAACGTCGCGGGTGCAGAATCACACAGTAACATGCAACAAAACATGTCGATATAGATTCAGTTCATTACCTTGGACAGCATCGAGGAAATCGTTCTCAACCATCTGAGCAGGTCGTTAAAGTTGACTGATTGATAGAGTAAAGCGAACCTCTTTTAATGTTCATTAATCAAATTGTATTTGTGGAATAGAAGCAATAATTCATTCTGAAGAGCTGGGTTCATCATTATCATTTCCAGCACATTTTCATCTGATGTGATCTTTTCCAAAATATTTCATTTGGTGTTTTCGAAAACATGATGAAATTATAGAATCAACCGAATTTATACATGTACATAATGTATTTAGAACCTATTCGCTAGTCAAACGACGTCATTTGGTGTGTTCTTCAATGTTGAAGTTTGTCCTGTTGTCCAAGTAGTTAATATGCTTTTCTGAATGACATGGTTACAGCGGTCGTTTTCTCAGCATGGCAGTAATTAGGCGATACTGTACTCTTTTTGATTGCGGTTTGATACGGCTTGGGAGGATACGCTTATCCGTACCGCTAAAACAGTCATCAGTGATTTTTTAATGATCTATTCATACTGCTATCTTGCACTTTGCATCCAATTGATTCTGATTCGGCAAATAATCGACACGTGTTATTCTACGGAGTAAGCGTTAACTATTTACACCATTCTTACTCATTGCATCCCATAACGATCGCCCAGCACCGGATCTATCGAAATTGCTAAGCAAGAGACTATCCCGAATGCCCTTGGAGTAATGTCACTGGACAGATGCTGACTTTGCAAACAACTGGGACAAAGGGGATGCACAGGGGGTATTTCAACTATCACTACCACAGGCAACAAGAAGATTACAGATCACCGGAGATGAATCAACACGGTCCGGACCACAAAGACGAAATGCTGAAGGAAATAAAAGCATTGAGACCGATACGTTGATAGATGTCAGATTAATGTGCACTGCAGGAAGACCGAAGGATACCACAATGATATTGTCTGCTCTTACACAATCCCTTTCGTTGCTTTCTTTGTACTTCGATAAATGCTTCTTTGACAGCTCTGTGCGATACTTGCATCACTATGCAAGTCAAGAGGTCTTTGTGTCTGTATAATATTGAATAAATGATAGCGGAGAATGTGTCTGGAGATGAATGCTATTCATAAATTATTATGCAGAAGAAAATGATCTCGTTTTAAGATGGCGAGACATCCTCTTGATTTGAAACGGATGACACATCAAAGTGTATGATTTGGTGTATTGAATTACCAGAAGCGAAATGTGATCACCTGCTCAATAATAAAAGACTAGAGTGTTTCTCAAACTAAAATTGTACCGTTTCAGTTGTGTGGACCATTTTTTCATAGCATCATTTTCTTGAGAGTTTCATTAAGTAACTTAATCCCTTGATTCCCACAAATCATCACCCTTATTGATATATATCCTGCAATGGAGGTATTGATGTAAACTCTTAGTGCATTAATTCATGCGACTACCTAGTATGCAACTGCGAACATGACATTACTATTGCTAACTGCACACATGTGTTCGGGATTATCAACTCTTTCAAAATGTATAAAATTGAAAATATTTGATAATTTTAACGTTTTTATCTGTATTACAATACTGATCAGAACGGTGTCTCAGGAACTATGTTGACATAGAAAATGAAACAGCGTAAATTGAATATCTTCCTTTCACTGTGATGGATGATGTTTCTATTATTGTTGCAGAACAATGACGTCCAACGGCTCCGATGCCCCGTCAGCGGGGAGCAACATGACTGAGAGCATCTTCCTCACATACAATATGATGACATTTCACGAGGAGTTTGCACCGGCGTCAGTGATGATCGACCGCAGTATTTCTCCAATCTTTTACATCATCGGCGTCTTCTGCAATCCACTTTCCGCTTATATCTGGTTGAACAAAAAGACACGAAGAAACAACTCTTCTGCAATCTATCTAGGAACCTTGTCCATCTCACACTTTGTGTTTCTCATTTTACATATTTTTGTTGAGCTCAACTATGCCTGGGGTATCAAGACATACAATGGCCCCATATCGTGTGAAATATTTAACGTTATATACTATGTGCCACAGTATATGGCTCCATTGTTGGTGTTGAGTTTCACTGTTGAGAGATATATTGCAGTATGTCATCCCTTTAGTAAGGAGAAATTCTGCACGGTTCGAAGAGCTATAATAGCGGTGGTGATATTGTACATATCTTCAATGCTTCTCTCGGTGATTCAGGGATACTTTTGGACATACAATCCAAGCCTTGGGGATTGTGATCACAGAGTAGAAGCTAGACTTGGAGGTCAAACTAGTATTATCAATGTTTGGACATGGATTTCAGAACTGTTGATATTTGCCATTGTACCACTTGCCGCTCTTGTGTTCAACATATTTGTTATCAATGAGATTAAGTCACTGACGAAAAGGGGTCCTGCCTACCAACAACCCGGAAGTGGAAGTCCAACAGCTTCAACCGTTACCCTTCTAACCGTTTCGTTTTACCTAATTTGCACGTGGTTACCTGCGACTCTTGTGTATTCCCTGCAGAATCTGTTCATGGCCAACGATAGGATGACAGCTGAAGAGATCCGAGCAGACCCAGAATGGAGAAGTTATTTCATCTATATTACAATCAGAAAAGCAATTGAAGAAATAACACTGTCCAACTCGGCGTGTTATTTTTTCATTTACTGTATAACGGGGAAACACTTCCGGGATCAAGTCTGTGCATTATTCGGTCTGCAAAAGTGTGTTAGGTCCGAGGAGGTACCGCCACCAACATACAAACAATACATGGCTGTTGCTAAAATAGACCACGTTACCAACGGCCACACGTCTATTACAAGTGTCTGAAGCATTAGGTCGAGTCGGGATTCTGTTTTGTGCATTCGATAGAGGAATTATACCGTGAAACGGCATACCATTGCCATTATTGGATGTCAATGTACTCAAATCAAGTGCTTATCGGTATGTCAATTACGTCTTCTGACAGCCTTTGGATCGGGGTGGCCTCGTCGCCCAAGACAGCATAGGACGATGCTTCTCCCCGTGATTGCATAATGCATGCATTACGCGCTGTGTTGATCTTTAGGTGGTACGTTCAACCACGCTGTCGTTCATTAAGAGCATCACTTGGTAATTCTACATCTCAGACGTGCTGTGAATAGATATATCCTATAATCAACACACGGTGCTGAGAGTGGACTGATAGATCAGGGATTACAACCCGAATACCATAAATTAATCATTCATACGAGCACACACCATGTACAGAGTCATGAAGTGTTATTGCATGTTAATCCTTCTGGTGTCAATTTATTCAATGGCGAACGTATACGATTGATTGTATTGTGATGCTATCAACTATATGTACACTATAGTGAATTGTATTGACTCCATGACGAGCAAGGATGTCTCATCGATATATTGAGATGTTAAAAACACAATTTCACGGCGTGCGTTGCTAATAGTTTCAGTGTGAGAAACTTTGTTCGGAAGAGGTGTTGTACAACGGCAGAATTCAAATTGATATTTGCATTACCATGTTACTATATGAATCTGTGTACTATTAAGTTAGAAAGGTTACGCGGTACGATGACACGTAATTCAGGAAAATCTGAAAATGACAATGACACTGCAACAAAGGAACTTCAAACCGTAATTACCAAACCCATGATTGTGGCCAAGTAACGGAATTCAACGTAGGTGTTTCAAGATAATTCAGTTCGGAAGTATTTTTGTGTTTTGAGATAGATATACCATGTCATGGCAATACAATGTTGCATTGTGAATCGTTTCAAACAGACTTAGGATATACAGTGCTGGTCTGAACCAGAACGAACAGTTTGATTTCCAAGAAGCTGAATTATATCAGCATTGCAGAAGGTGCAAGAGAAATCCAGGGTGCATACAATTTGTATTTAACATTGTTACCACAAAGGGACCACGCCGGGATACTGGATCTACGTCACTGGATCATTATCATTTAATGACGTCGCTGCATTGTTTCACGACAGCAATTATAGTTTTGAGTAACTCTCCAATAAACAGCGAAACCTGGTAATTGTGGAATTAACCACAATGCATAAAGAACATTGATATAGATATCCAGGGTGTAAAAATAGACTGAATCTTTGGGATTATTGATGTTTCGGGTCAGTTAATTATCAGTTTGCTTTGAGACTTGTTTTACGAACAATTTGCTTGGGTTTCATTTCTCGTCCAAGACAATCTGTTTAAAGTATAGTCTTCCCATGTGACAAGGAGCAAATGAGACCATAAGCAATGAGTTAGTAGATACGATATAGGAATACCAGTTATGTAAGGTGCTAAGTTTGTTATGTGAAATGGTTTGGTATATCATCATCTTCGTCAACCAGAAATGCAATTGACATCTAAATCATGGATCCCCTTTCGTTCAGTTGCGTGGCATTGGTTAATAAGTGTGTTCTTGAAACCTTTCATGTTTTTATGTTCTTCTGGTTAACATAAAAAATGTATTGTTAAAGAATTGGCAGTACTAATACCTACGATGTAAGTATGTAGTTCACATATAATCATTCTATTATATGTAGCCTACATGTATCGTATAAGTAACTTTAGACCACTGTGTGTATGCGTACGCATGTTAAACATAGATGTGGTAAGTATAATGTCTCATAACAAGATGAACTACATCGGACTGTTGATTGATCGTAATCATGTCATGAGGATGATTTGTACACAAGGTACAGATCCTCCTCCTCTATATAATGAAATAAGACCGTTATTCCATTCGGCTTACAAGTGGCTGGAATACGTATCTAACACTAGACGTAAGTTTAGCCCTCAAAGTATCAGACGTTTGGGAAACATTTCACAATTTGACTAAACCGATGTTTGATGCGATTCTCTATTGTGATTTGACATGTATCATATGTCCCTGTGCTTTTTAGTTGACCGATTGACTTGGCTGAGAATGCGTTTGTGTACATGTCTGACTGGATACCCTCAACCTTTTCACATATACATTGTACCATCACAATTTGATAGTGGTTCGTAAACACATATTTATGATATAGCCAGTATATAACAACCAACTCTGCTTCAAGCAGAAAGGTCCTTCGTTCATTAAAGTTTGTTGCTTTTTGTACTGGCGACCAACTTGTGTTTCATATCTGCATGACAAAAAGTCAATACAATTCTATTTTGTTTGGGAAGCGTTAAAAAATCACAGATGGCCATTATGTAATGAACGTTGTCCTCGATTTGGGCTGGAAGATGAGACAGCACAGCCCTAATTGTCGATTTCGTCCATCATATTTATGATCGGAATATTGTTTAATATCGAATTGTGATCAGTATGTGTGGTTTTGAACGTTCCCTTTCCTCTTTGCTGCAATCGCAATGGTTAAGTGCTCTGCCTGAGTTGTAGATATATTTCAATAGTATTATGACAGTGGTGCATACATACACACATACAAGTCATTTATTCATCCAATGATTTGTTGTTTTTAGGATAATCAGATTAAGCATGAAAATGTGTATATTGAAATCATAATGTTATCATAACTTACTGTTATATAGTATATAAATATATATATTTGTTAAACTGTCTGTTCATGCTTGTTTATGCTAATTATTATGACCAGCTCATGAAATTAAAGTACTGTTAACTCATTTAGCGTTCGACTTGTCAGTTTTATAACCATCGACAGCAACATTCAGTTGAATTGTGCTTGTGTCTACAAAATATAAATATTTCTGTAGATGTTGCCAAGGAATCAATGACTAGGCACTCGGAATTTTGGTTACCATTTGTAATTGGGGGTTACTCGGTTGAATATTCCTCATATTAGTAGGGGTTCATGTTGCCGGAACAATTTAATGTATATGTCATTGTGCTGTGTAACAAATTAATGCAGACCACATCCTTTACCAGTAACGAGCACTTTATGGTGCCAGGCAAGCATGTATGTATGTAATCCTTTGTACAATATCATGCTTCATTTTTACAATTTCAATAGCAGTACGGTATTGTATTTCATATTTTTGCGAAACGCGCCTATATAATCTGTTAATACATCTCTTATTTTGTATATGTTAATAAGAGATTCTTCGGGATTGTTGCTCTCTAATTTGTACATTTAAGGCTATCAATATTCCGTGTAATGAATAACTGATTTAGTACATTTAGTTTTGCATCAGAATATTTGTATAACACAATACGAGTATAAATAAGAACACACGATGTATTAAACACCATGAAATCATTGTTCAAGCGTTAATTTCCCATGTCCAAGACATGTATCAGGCAGGCTGTACAGATTTAATATAATATAAAACGATCCTCCTCCTTGAACCTTGAATGTTGCTTCAGTACGATAATGGCCGGTGACTTGTAAGCCTGGGACAACAGCATTTTTATCAAATTTTTCTGACTTCAATGACGAACTTTTCGCGCCCCAGACAGTTGCAAATTGATTCCCAACATCTCGAGTAAGGGAGAGAGGGATTGTGGGGCTTAGTGCTGACAGGTCTGTCTGTTTCAGGCACAAGTAATTGCACTTTCGTGTCCAGTCCTGCTCTCTCCACGTCCGCCTGACAGCTAATTTTGTCAGCGGTATTACTTGCACTTTCCAGCTGAAATTAGGCTGTATCAATTTATTCTAGAGGCATATATTGTAATTGTTATATAATGTGAATGTGAGTTTGAATACCATGGGCTTATCTTTAATCTATAGCTGGGTGTCTAGCAATTTGAATTTCTGGTTTTCAAATCCTCGTTTACCCAATAAGTGCAATACGGCCAAAGCTTATTTTATGCTGGGAACAGCAGTCACCTGCCATATGGTGATTGTATATGTGCAATTTGACATTGAGTAAGTATGAACAGAGTATTGACCGACCTAATCCCAATGATCGAGTTTCTACGATTAAGCCTATTAATATCTACGCACTTGGTACTATTCATCACAAGAAGGATGAAAGTGTTACGTGAATGTACTTTTGCCTTACATTTCTTCAGCGTGCTATACACTGAAGGGTATGCCTATTTATTATGCATTAGTGATAACTTAACACATTTATCTTTGGTTTGATCCATATTTCACTTTCCATGGAGTAACAGTTCACGACGGAACTACTTTAAATCTGGCTAAGGGACATGATGGCTCTTAGTTTAAGAAGAAGGGAACAAAAAGGATGGAACACTTTGCTTTCCAATTGTGTGTTAATCTAGTTTCATGGCTTCTAAAATTGTTGTTGGAATGTTTCGTCTAATATCTAAAGTCGTAGTTTGTATATACAGTTCAAGCCATGACACACATCGGGCTATTTGCCAAAGAATATCCATCATTATCAAACATCCTTGATGTGACTGATCAAATATAATGGGCGAGTGACCGATTGGAGAGTAGGTAGCACAGTATAATATATCACAGTTTCACAATTAGGATAGAAGAAGCTCCAGTAGCTTAACAGGAAGCAAAATGTGTCATAATAACGTCCTTCCATATACAAATAATAAAGGTCCTGTTAACATTGTCAAGAGAACGCAAATCACTCCAAATATGACAACCATTGTGATACTGGATACGTCGGTATAGATATTCAACATTGACTTCATGACGACTCGTATCCGTGTCAGAGAAAGACTGAAGCTTTTATACTCATAGCTCAAGGTTTGTACTCATGCTTAGTGGTGGCATTACGCCCCCTATAGTTGTTCCATGGAATTAGAAAAAGATTCATATTAAAAAATAAATTTATCATTTATTCATCAGATACCCATTGTACGAAATGCTTAAAACACTGCTTTGTAGTACTATTCATTGGGTGTATGAAACGGGAGACAATTTTAAAAGATATCTGAAGAATATTCACAGTATTATACGTCAACATTACATGTGCATTTACACGCCAATATAAATATAGAATGTAGGCATTAACAAACGCGAAGTTCTCCCTCATATATTCAGTGAGACCACATGTTTCATGCAACAGACTGTTGTACATTAATCATCATTTATTTGCTGATGACAAGGGACAGCTGTTGCTTGGTGGTATACTGTGTCCTCGATGCTGGAGCGTGTTACCTCACGGCTTTGGTTTGACGACACCTGTCAAGATGGTTATCACGTAGTGATCCTGAATCGTCATTTTAATTACAGGATGGCTAATATAGTTTAGTACATTGAGGCCAGCGCCTGGCTCTCTCGTATCAGTTCAGATTTATCTGATTATGAATCCTATCATCGGATCAACTAAAACACACAACATGGCACATGCAAAATACCCGTGAGGTGACTAGGCTGTGTTGTAGTCTATCCATTATCGTGGTATTGACCAAATAAGACTGCGCTGACGGCATTTCTTTACCATAACGAGATGATGTACATGTAGTACGTGGAACCTTATAGGTGCATAACTGTTACGATGTTTGGCATCATTTGTTCAATGCTAAGACACGTGGGCACGTTAACGCAACACATACCATCGATATAGCAATAGTAAACTCAATATTCCTATTACACTTAATAAACATTGTACTCTTTGTATATGGAAGTAATGGCGCGTGTCTTTCATATTTGTTCATTTGTACACCGATGTGTGAAACTCGAAGGCGCCTGAAAATATGTTGAACTTATTCGTGTGTTCGACAAGTCTCAGCGTTTTAGCGTCATTCTCAAAACCAAATTTTGTATATCTTTTAGGAAATATAGGAAAATACAGTATTGAATTGTGTTTTCGATTTGTGAAGAAAACTTAAATGGAGACATTTACATCGATTGCGATGCAATAAAATGAAATACACAAGAATTACTTAGAAAGTGTAATCCCAAATATAACATATGTTACAGATTGAGATGCATATAATCGTTGATCATCTTTTCAGCTCGACTTAACAGGGCAAATGTAACAGGGCTTCCAGAGATATTTTA